ATAGTAGAGAGCTGGATCAGAAGTGGAGTAGCCGGGTCTCAAACTGGAGTCCATATGGGATGCCAGCTCCGCAGGCAGCAGCTTTACCCATTACGCCACAGTGCCAGCCCCCATATAATTCTTAGATATTTTCTGTTGCAGCATTCCTAGGAAATCTGTTGCAACACAGAAATTTATATCACATGTTCAAAGAGTACTTCAGGATGATATTGCCATTATTTTATTTATTTTATTTTTTTTAATTAAAAAAAATTTTTTTTTGACAGGCAGAGTGGACAGTGAGAGAGAGAGACAGAGAGAAAGGTCTTCCTTTTTGCTGATGGTTCACCCTCTAATGGCCACCGCGGTTGGCACGCTGCAGCCGGCACATTGCGCTGATCCGAAGCCAGGAGCCAGGTGCTTCTCCTGGTCTCCCATGCGGGTGCAGGGCCCAAGCACTTGGACCATCCTCCACTGCACTCCTGGGTCATAGCAGAGAGCTGGCCTGGAAGAGGGGCAACCGGGACAGAATCCGGTGCCCCGACTGGGACAAGAACCCGGTGTGCCGGCGCCGCAAGGCAGAGGATTAGCCTAGTGAGCCGCGGCGCTGGCCTATTGCCATTATTTTATGAAAACCTGATTATTAAAGTATAGAAGCTCAGTGGTATTCTGCAATGACAAGAGGAGTAACCATGAAAATCATTTGAATCACAAGAGCTTCCCTCGTAATATTGTAAAAGATTATTGAACTTAAAGACAAATGAAGCATTTGTTTTTTATGAAAAGAAAAATATGCCAAACATTTTTTTAATGAAAAGACAAAATGAGTCAAATTTGCTGACCCTTTTTGTATATATAGTATATTAAAAACCAATCAACCAGGGAAAGCTATTTGGCCTAGTAGTTAAGATACCCTCAGCCCAAATTAGAATACCTGGATTTGAGTCCCAGGTTTGGTCCAAATTCAAGCTTGTTGATATTGTGAACTCTGAGAGGCAGCAGATGATGGCTCAAAGTGTTTGAGATTTGGATTGAACTTCTTGCTCTGGGCTTTGGCTGGCCCTCTACTTGCCATTATAGGCATTTGGAGAGCAAACCAGCGGATGGAAACTCTATTTCTTTACTAAAATAAATTAAAAAAAGATTATTTTTTAAAGATTTATTTATGTATTTGAATGTTAGAGTTACACACAGAGAGAGAAGGAGAGGCAGAGAGAGAGAGACATCTTCCTTCCTCTAGTTCACTCCCCAATTGGCCGCAACAGCCGGAGCTGCACCGATCCGAAGCCAGGAGCCAGGCGCTTCTTCCACATGGGTGCAGGAGCTCAAGGACTTGGGCCATCTTCTACTGCTTTCCCAGGCCATAGCAGAGAGCTGGATCGGAAGTGGAGCAGCCAGACATGAAGTGACACTTATATGAGATGCTGGAGCGGCAGGCAGAGGCTTAGCCTACTACGCCATAGCGCCAGCTCCGGTAGCAGTAAATTTTAATACTCTCTCTCTTAGTGGAGTAACCGGGACTATGAACCAGCACTCTGATGGGATGTGGGTGTTGAATGGGAGAGCTTAACTGGCTGTGCCACAATGCCTGCCCCTCTAACAGGTGTTTTTTTTTTTTTTTTTTTTTTTTTTAAAGATTTATTTAATTACTTGAAAGACAGAGTGATGGAGGAGGGGTTGGAGAGATAATTTTTATCTGCTGGTTCACTCCCCAGGTGAATGTCTGGGGCTGGTCCAGGTCAAAGCCAGCAGCCTGGAACTCCATCTGCGTCTCCCATGTGGGTGGCAGAGGCCCAAGCACCTGGGCCATCTTCTGCTGCTTTCTCAGGAGCATTAGCAGGAATCTGATTTGAAGTGGAGCAGCTGGAACTCAAATTGACACTCTAATCTGGGATGCCAGCATTGCAAGCATTGGCTTAGCCTGCTGTGCTACCATACTGGTCCCTTTTAGTGCTCTATGGTACTGCATGGTGGCTATAATTAATAATAGTGTATTGCATTTTAAAAATTATTAAAAGAATAGATTTTAAACATTCTATCAGAATAATCTGTGATCTGATTGTTGTTAATTAGCTTCATTTAAAACATCACATTGTACCACATAAACACACACAATTATTACTTGTCAATTATAAAATTTTTTACATCTGGTAGCACCTGAGTATGTTGGTAAAATTTATCAAACTGGTCATATGTGATTTGTGTACTTTTTTGGATGATTCTACTTCAGTAAAAATAAACATAACCAGAAAAAGAAGTTCCAGTGAATTTTTGAACCAAGTATGTATGTGTATATTTATGTATATATGTATTTGTCAGACAGAGAGCTCCTATCTACTGGTTTACTCTAAATCTCAAAAATGGCTGTGGCTGGGAGGGGTTACTCATGCCACTTGTCTGGGTGGTAGGAACCTAATTACTTGCACCATGATTGTTGCTTCTTAGGGTTAAGGTCTACATAGGTAGGAAGCTGGAGTCAGGAGCCAGATAACAGAGTTGAACCCAGGTACTCTGATTTGAGCTATGGCTGACTTAACTTACAGGCTCAATGCCTGTGCTTGGGTTGTTAAAGATGTGGCGCAGTGGGTTAACACCCTGGCCTGAAGTACCGATATCCAATACGGGCGCCAGTTCTAGTCCCAGCTGCTCCACTTCCAATGCAGCTTTCTGCTATGGCCTGGGAAAGCAGTAGAAGATGGCCCAAGTCCTTGGGCCCCTGCACCCACGTGGTAGAAGCTCCTGGCTCCTGGCTTCGGATTGGTGCAGCCCCAGCCGTTGCAGCCAATTGGGGAGTGAACCATTGGATGGAAGACCTTTCTCTCTCTGCCTCTGCTCTCTCTGTGTAACTCTTTCAATTAAATAGATAAATCGTTTTTAAAAATGTTAAAAAACTACATCTTTTGATTAGTTTGTAAGAAAATCCATTGACAAGAGGGAAGATGGAAATTTACTCTCCATTGTTCAACAAAACTTTTTTTTTTTAAATTTATTATTTGAAAGGCAGAGTTACAGTGAGAAACAGGGAGAGGCAGAGAGAGATCTTGCATCCATTGGTTCAGTTCTCAAATGGCCGCAAAGTCAGGAGCCAGGACCTTCATCTGGGGCTCCCATGTGGGTACAAGAGCCCAAGCACTTGGGCCATCTTCCACTGTTTTCCCAGGCACATTAGAAGGGAGCTGGATCGGAAATGGAGCAGTTGGAATTTGAACTGGTGCCCATATGGGATGCTGGTGCCACTGGCATCTCTACTTCACAGCACTGGCCCCTCACCAAAAACTTTTGATAACTGCTGGGAATATTGAAATTACAGTAGTGACAAAGTCCAGCCAAAGATGTAATTATTCTCCTCCCCCTCTCCCTTTTCCTGCCCCTCCCCCTCCCTCTCCTCCTCCTTCTAAGATTCATTTATTTGAAAGAGTGAGAGAGAGAGAGAGAGAGAGGGCAAGCAAGTGAGCATGATAGACCTTCCGTCTGCTAGTTCACTTCCCAGAAGGCTGTAACAGCTGGGACTGGCCAGGTTGAAGTCAGGAGCTTCTTCTGGGTCTCCCATGTGGGTGGTAGGTACCCAAACACTTGGGTCATCTTCTTACTGCTTTTCTCAGGCCATTAGAAGGGAACCAGATTGGAAATGGAGCAGCTGGGACTCGAATTGGTGCCCATATGGGATGCTGGCATTGCAGTAGAGGCTTTACTTGCTATGCCACAGTGATTATTTCTTTAATTTCAGTCCTTGCACCTTTACAATTATCCCTCTCACCTATGCAGTCATTATAACTGAAATGGGAATTAGGACCTAACATGTTGATCACTGAATTAAAAAAATTCAACTAATATTAATAAATTATTGTAATTTCATTTTAAGGTTATTGCTCCACTAAAAATGTTAACAAATTTTTTTGAAAATTAAAAATCTTTTGTGTTGTAAAAAATAAAATATGAAACTTTTTGATGTTTATAATCTTTTTTTAAATTTTTATTTTTTTGACAGGCAGAGTTGGACAGTGAAAGAGAGAGACAGAGAGAAAGGTCTTCCTTCTGTTGGTTCACTCCCCTAATGGCTGCTACAGCCAGTGTGCTGTGCCGATCCGAAGCCAGGAGTCAGGTGCTTCCTCCTGGTCTCCCATGCGGGTGCAGGGCCCAAGCACTTGGGCCATCCTCCACTGCACTCCCGGGCCACAGCAGAGAGCTGGCCTGGAAGAGGGGCAACTGGGACAGAATCCGGCGCCCCAACCGGGACTAGAACCCCGAGTGCCAGCACCGCAGGTGGAGGATTAGCCTAGTGAGCCGCGGCACCGGCCTAAGGTTGTGTTCTTGATAAGTGAAATTGGCCTTCAGTCTGAATTGGAACACAGTGGTTCTCAAAGTAGAGAGCAGCACCTGCCTGTCCTGGGAACTTACTAGAAATGTGGACTCCTAGGCCGGATCCCAGACCTGCTGACCCAGGCACATTGGCCACCAGTCTGGCCAGGTGGTTCTGATGCTCACTCAAGTCTGAGAACAACTTATGGACATGCAGCCTCGCTGGCCACCCCTTCTTTCTCCTTCCTACCTCGTCACGTATCTGAGATGCTTTCTTTGAACCTATAGTGTGTCCACGTCTTAGCTCATACTTTTTTTAATCTCCACCTCAGATTTTCTTCTCATTTTCTTCACTCTTCTTTCTATTGTGAAACATTGCTTATTAGTATGATATTTACAATGTCATTTAACAATGCAGATGCATATGTAAATTAATGAATCCTCCAGATGTTTTTGATCAGTTTCTCATCTGAACTATGAAACAAAGAGGATGATTTGAGTGAAGGTTTTCTCAACTTCCCCAAAGGTAGTACGTTGCTAGTATCAATCCAGATGTGCAGGAGAGGAGTTCATGCAGTACACACAATGGATATTCTATGGTCAAATTCTCTCTGGGGAACCCAGGTTATTTGAACTGTGTATGTAGCAAGTTCTTAAAAGTTTTTGTGTTGATTGGCTTGTGATAATTATACAGGTAACATTTATTCATTTATTTATTTTAGATTACAGGCCCACCAGGTTGTGGAAAAACTCAGTTTTGTATAATGATGAGCATTTTGGCTACTTTACCTACTGACATGGGAGGATTAGAAGGAGCAGTTGTCTACATTGACACAGAGTCAGCCTTTAGTGCTGAAAGGTAAGTTTTATCATTTTCCACTATAATCCTTCACTTTTGTGACATATACAACATGGGATATTTACAAATAGGTTAACATTCTGGGTTAAAAGAATTATTTGATTTGAAAGGCAGAGAGACAGAGACAGAAGGAGGTCTCCCATCAGTTGGTTCACTCCCCAAATGTCCACAGCAGTGGAGTTGGGCTGGGCAGAGCTGGGAGCCAGGAACTCCCTCGAGTCTCCCCTGTGGTAGCAGGGACCCAACTACCTGAGCTATCATTGCCTGCTGCCTCGTGCATTAGCAGGGAGCTGGAATTTAGAACAAAGCTGGACAGGTAAAGCCTCCACCTGCAGCGCCGGCATCCCATATGGGCACTGATTTGAGACCTGGCTGCTCCACATCCAATCCAGCTCTTTGCTATGGCCTGGGAAAGCAGTGGAAGATGGCCCAAGTCCTTGGGCCCCTGCACGCACGTGGGAGACCCAGAAGAAGCTCCTGCTTCCTGGCTTTGGATCAGTGCAACTCTGGCCTTTGCAGCCATTTGGAGAGTGAACCAGCGATGGAAGACTTCTCTGTCTCTGCCTTTGCCTCTCTGTAACTCTTTTAAATAAATAAATAAATAAATAAATAAATCTTAAAAAAAAAGAACAGAACAGAGCTGGAACTGTAACCTAGGCACTTTGATAGGAGATGTGGGTGTCTCAAGTGCCAGCTAAACAATTGCATCAAGTGGTGGCTCCCATCATTACAATCTTGATGTGTTGCCTGGGCTTGGCTGATACTGCTGCCTGCACAAAACTGGGACTCTCATAACAGCCTAATGGTTAAGTTGCTAAAGATTTGGTTTCTGACTCCAGCTTCTCACTAGTGCAGACCCTGAGAGGCAGCAGTGGTGACTCAAGAATTGGGTTCCGGTTACTCACACGGGAGAGCTGGATTGAGTTCCTGGTTCTCAGTGTCCGCCTGACCCAGTCCTGGCATTCATGGACATTAGCAGAGTGGGCTTGGAGATGGGAGCTTCTGTCTGTCACTGTCCCTCTTCCTCTCAGATTAAAAAATTTTTTTAAAAGATACTAAAAAAATAAAATTGGAAGTCCCTTGGCAAGGAAGAAGTGGAAGTAGCTATTGGGTTGATAATTACAGTGTCTGGCACAGCTGGAGTAGTCTCTGGCTTAGAGAAGAGGTGGAAGGGACACATGGGGCCTAAAAAAGAATATGTTTTAGTTCTCCGTGTGTTTTAGTATCATCTTCATTTTGTACTTAGAAATCAAACTATCTGATCAGCACAGGTGAGAAAATGCTTGAAGGAATAATATGAGGAAGAATTAGAGAATATAAGGTAAATGTTTAAAAGTAGAAGTAATTTGTAAATTTGTAGATTTTTTTCTCAAGGAGAGAGAAAATGGAGAGTAAATAAAAAACTACTTTATGTTTAAAATGCATCAAGGAAAAAAGCCCAAATTTCTTTTTGTGATATACTTTAGAAAGATTAGTTACATAAATGTATATGTATATGTATTTAAAATATTATTTATTTGAAAGGAGAATAATAGAGAGAGATATCTTCTATCCACCAGTTCACTCCCCAAACGGCTTCAACCGCCAGGGCTGTGCCAGGATGAAGCCAGGAGCCAGGATCTCCATCTGGGTCTTCCACATGAGTGTCAGGGACCCAAGTACTTGAAGCCATCATCTGCTGTCTTCCAGGATAGGTTAGCAGGAAGCTAGGTCAGAAGTGGAGGTAGGACTTGATCCCAGGCCCTCTGATACAGGATGCATGTGTCTCCAAGATTGAGTGTATTATGAAGACCATGAACTAACTAGTTTATTTTCCATGTCATTTAGGAAAGAATAATGAAAACTGTATGTTAGTCATGCCTGTTCATCATAGACTTTGGTTGTGTATCTGGGCTGTTTAACAGTTAGGTATAGTCTGGTACTGATCCTGGGGTGCTCAGGGACTGCACTGGGCAGGGAATGTGAAGCAGGCAGAATTCTGGATCCTCTTTGGGGTGTTTCACAAAAGTTCTCTTTTGATTTGTTTTGCCTGTTGGACTTCTGCTTAAGATGTCATACAATCTTAGATACCATATGCTTATATATGCCTTGAGGATGTGGATAAATAGATTAATCCAGTGACCATCCCCATATTTTACTCTATGGAACTTTTGGTATCCATGAGGACTCTAGTATGTATGGATTGAATGAATAATATGTTGTTTTTATGAGAGATAATTAGAAAAAGATGGACTTGGGGGTTGAGAATAATAAAAAAGGAAAGCAATATGGATGGGAAATAGTAATAGAATTTTTTGATTTATTTTATTTATTTGAAAGGTAAAGTTATATGTAGAGAGGGAGAGACAGAGAGATCTGCTATCCACTGATTTACTCCCCAAATGCCTACAATGGCTGGGGCTGGGTCAGATCGAAGCCAGGAGCCAGGAGCTTCTTCTGGGTCTCCAACATGTGTGCAGAGGCCCAGGTACTTGGGCCATCTTCTGCTGCTTTCCCAGGTACATTAATGGGGAGCTGGATCAGAAGTGGAGCAGAAGGAAACTGACGCCCGCCTGGGATGCTGGCATTGTAGGTTGCGGCTTTAGCTGCTGCACCACAATGCTGGACCCAGTCAAGGAGGTTTTTGAAATAAAGCTTTGGGAGAAATAAAACGGGTAAAGAGAAATAAGGCTGGGTCTTAGAATGACCAGTGGAAGAGAGTCCATAAATGTGTGAGAAATGGCCGGATCCTGGGAAGCAAGAGGTGGGACCCAGAACTCTGGAAACTGGGGACCTGAGGGGCTGGGATGTAGGACTGGAATTTTAGGTGGTGAAGTGGACGTTTCTGAGTATAATGAAATCAGAAGAGCTTTGAAAACTGGAAGAGAGATATAGTCCAACAAGAGAGGAAGGCATTGATCAAATAAACACTAAAATATAAAATGATAACTATCATAAATAGGTATACAAAGGAGAGGTACATATTGTTTTGGTAGGGAGTGGAAGCCATGTCCGACCTTATATCTGCAGAAGCTGCTGTATTTGGTGTGCATGTTACCTCCAGGACGCCACATGCCCCACCACAGTAGTGCTGTCCAGTCCTACCAACTGTTTAGGATGTCTTGCTTTCTGAGTCAGAGCATAAAATAAAGATGGAGGCCTGGCAGGCAGTGGTGCTGGCCAGCCGTGACTTTGACTGACTCTGAAGGCCACACCAGTGTGTTCTCAGGACCGCTGGGAAAAATTCCCTCTTCCCATGTTTTTGAGACGGTCCCTATTGTGGGTAGGCTTTCCTGCCAGTTCTAGCTGCCTTGACATTTGTGAATCTAGATGAATTAGGAGGGAAGGGGTTGCCTGAAAGTTTTGTAAGATAAAAATTAGTCATAAGAGCTTGTTATTATAACAAAACATTGTGATTTTCTGGAATTTGTTAGTGACTCATAGGTTCATATTATTTTATTTAGTGATGCACAGGAAATGAATGAACAGGAAAATAGTATGTATATATGTACAAGAAACATTGATAAGCCATTAATTTACATCTCAGCACAATTTTAAAAGATTTATTTATTTATTTGACTGGCAGAGTTACAGAGAGAGAGAGAGAAAGAGAGAGTCAAGCAGAGAGAGAGAGAGAACTTCATCTGCTGGTTCGCTCCTCAAATGACTGCAATGGCTGGAGCTAGCCTGTCCAAAGCCAGGAGCCAGAAGCTTCTTCCGGTTCCTTTACATGGGTGCAGAGGCGCAAGTACTTGGGCCATCTTCCGCTGCTTTCCCAGGTGCATAAGCAGGGAGCTGGATTGGAGGTGGTGCCTAAATGGAATGCTGGCACTGCAGGCAGTGGCTTAACCCACTATGCCACAGCTCTGGCACATCTTAGCACATTTAAGATGCTATATTTCAACTGAAATTTCAGAAAACATGAGGGTTACTGAGACAATGAAGTTGAGAGCCACTGCTATAAATAACATTTTATAAATAAGAACATTTTCCAGCATAGTACAATTGACATTCATCACGCAACAACATTGTGAGATGAGCAAGGTGGGTGTTATGATATCCTCCTAGAAATAAGGAAAATAGGACTCAGAAATCGTGCAGTTTGCCCAAGATCATTTGACTAGTAAGTGAGAGGTGAATTCACTTCCTTTTTCTTCTAAACTATGCTTGGAAATAATGCTTGACTCTAAGAAAGGATTCAGGTATGTTTTCTTTCTTTCATTCATTCATTCAACAACACCTGTAGACAGGTGAACTTTCTATCTGTGAATCCATCTTTGCCTCATTTCCCATTGGGCGTTAGTCTTTTTCTTCTTAATGTCTAAGTATATATATTTTTTCTGGATGATGTTTGTCAGTTTTGCACATTACAAATGCCTTTGTTCAGTTATCTGCCATATTTATCTGTGGTGTTCTTTGTTCAGTAGCAATTTGTAATTTTCAAGTTGTTGCCTTACAGTTTTGGGTTTTGGATTTGAATTAAGTTTCCCATATCATTAGATACAAAAATATTGTCATACTTTTTAATAATATATTTATAGTTTTCTTCTTAATTATATCTTTGATCTGTAAAACCCATTAAAGATGCACTTATATCAAGTTTTTGTATGACTACATTTTCACCCATAAATACTGTACACCAATAGTGTAAATATTGCATATTCCATCAATAGTAATTTAGAGCCTTTATCAACATTGCATGTTTTTAGCTTCCTTCAATTTTTATCATACTCATGGTAAAAAAAGTGATCTATCATTGTTTTAACTATTTTGGGCCAGCATGTTTTCATGTATTCATTGTCCATTTATATTTCCTTGGCAAATTTCCTAGAAATGCACTTTTGCTATTTTTCTTTGTCTCTTTTTCTTATGGGTATATGAAGCTCTTTTTGTGTTTTTTTTTTCTAGCTTTCTTCTGCATTGATTTATCCTCTTTATTATTACCTTTTCTTACTTTAGGTTTCATTTGTTTTATAGCTAAAAGCTTGGTCATTGGTTTTTGAACTTTCTTCTTTTCTAGT